CATCGACTTGGCAAGGCTTCTTTCAGCCGAGTGGACAAAGTGCAGACATGGCACGATAAACTTATAATTTTTTGAAATCTGAAGTTTCATATGCTTAACCTTAATTATCTTTTTACAGAAATGAAATTGTACCTTTAGTCTCAAAGTTATAAGTTTTTTAGTTTTGTCCGGATTTCTAGGTATCACACGTTAGAATAACATTATTTGAGTGAAAATTTGGCATATGCAAAATATCTATCATAAAATGCCGAAGTGAATGACTGGGAGGGGAAGATTTTGTTTCCCACCACCAGAAGAACGTTGTATTATCATATTTGATTCACATATTGATACACCTAATTTTTATGTAAACTAATAATTTTTTAATGATTAAAGATATAAATTTATTTACAATAGCTATTGAAAAAAAATTCGTTAAAAGGTTTAATTTACTGGTTTTAAAACTAGTATTTGTGGTATGATCGGGTGGTATCGGACACATGTTTGGAGGGTGGCTCCGGACAACTTAAGTCGTTTACATACTAATAATAAACAACTTTTTTTATATAAATGATAATACATTTAATATAATACACAAACCTATAAAAGTATATCATTTAATTCCAATAAAAATACATTAGATTTGAAAAAAGTGTTTTTAAAGTGTTTATTTTCATTATAAAAAAGCTTATGTTTATATTTTTAAATGATGACATATTCATTCTCATTCCTTATATATCAGAGAAAATTTTTAAAAGCAATTTTTTTAAAAATGTGTCGAGAACAGTCCAGTGTTAAGTTATTATATATTACATTTGTGTCACACTGGTAAAAAAGAGGTAAAATCATGGTTAAACTATGTGTCCGGGGCTACTCTCCAATTTTGAAACATGCCTTTTTTCTAACATTTTTTCTTTTATGTTTTGTATATTATTAAGATACACAATAATTATTTTTTTTGTTTCTAATTCGATAGATGAATGTTTGAACTTTTAAAAAAAGTCTTTTGACACTTTTTTTTCTGTCAGCATATGTGCACAATCTATATTCTATGACTCTCTCATAATTCAAAAATCTCCCTAGTTTTCGCAAAAAATTATTTGCAAATTTAGAGAAATGAGTTTTTTTTCCGAGCGATTTTAGGGATTTTCGGAAAATGACAATTCTCAAAGTCTTTTTCCAAAAGACATTTTGGCAATTATGCAAGCGCGTAGTTATACCAATAACGGCAACTTTATTTCAAGTTTTAAACAATAAATTATAATTTTTATGTTATTTTTCTATTAATTTTTAATAGTAATTAATTTATAAAAATTTTTAGAATTATTGTTAAACTACAATTTGGCAAACTTTATTTAGTGAATGCGATTTTTTCACTTTTAAATTGGAAATTTTAATTTTATGACCATTTAGGAATACTGCGTTTGACGGGGCCCCAAAGGGCTTGTTTACACCCTGATTACTTTTAGTGTTATTTTATGTAATATGAATATTATTACAACATTGTTTTACTATTATTCATATATTATTACTTATTCTTATTGTGTAATATTCAGTTTAAATATTTATCAAAATTATTATAACTATTATTACTGTTATTATTAATTAAATGGATTATATTTATTAATATAAATATTATTGTTTATATTGCTGATATTGTTATTGTCCTCGTTATAATTGTTTTAATATTAATACTATTATTATACTTATTATAATTATAATAATTATATATAATTATTATAATTTATTTTTATCCATTAATCCAATATCCATTAAATGTAAAATTAAAGTTTCAAATATCTAAATTTATCATAAAAAAATACATGCCATTAAAAAAAAAATTATATAACATTTTTTTTATTAATATACACTTGCGTTTATGTAAACAATCATTATAATTAATTTTTATGGTTTTAGTTAAAGCCTTCGCGTAAAATAAAATTTTTAGAAAAGGTCAACGTAAAATAAAATTTTTAGAAAAGGTCAGATTAAAAGTTATTCTTAACATAAGACTTTTTTTATTGGATTTAAATTGTTAAAACATCAAAATAGCCGGTCAAGTTGTAAAGGAAAAAAATTTGTAATGTTGTAAAGAAAAAAAAATTTGTGATGTTGCAAAGAAAAAAAAAAAAGTTGTAAAGAAAAAAAAAAAGTTGTAAAGAGAAAAAAAATTTTAAAGTTGTAAAGAACAAAAAAAGTTGTAAAGAAGAAAAAAATCCGTTACAGGATGCGATCGCACGCCATTCCTGTCCAAGCCTGCGACTTGCGTGGAGCTTTAGAAACACGTCTATCTGTTACATAATTGAACAATGTGAGAACAACCATCAGAGAGAAGTTGATTATTAATTTTTAAAATATATATATATTTTTTTTTTCTTGTTTTTTTTTTAACTGTTTCTGATACTTTTAAACAAGTGAACTGGATCGTGTAGCATAATATCTGGTTTTTCTTTTTCTATAACACCTTGCGAAGGAAAACTCCTATTAACAACAAAACTTTGTTAAACACTTCGATTTGTGGAATGGTTATCTGATAAGAGACACAATAATTCTCTTTCTGCATCATTTATTTATGTTTATGATCAGGTCGCGAAGAAAATGTACTGACAGTTTGAATATTGGCACAACTCTACACCACAAAGGTTTACCAAACAAAGGTTTAATCGACATCTCATCAAAGAGAAGGGAGCAATGCTTTCCAGAACTATTAAAATTTTTAAAAACAACATTGATTGTATCATTGCACTCTTTTCCATTTCTAACTTCTCTAACTTTTTCTAATTTTGAAATGAGATTCAGACTCTCATTTCAAAGACTCTGAGTCTTTGAACTGCGCAAACAAAGCAGATTTTTTAAATGTCGATAGCAACATCTGGAGGGCAAATAAAGTTCAAATGAACGACATATACATAAAGTAAAAAAACGACGTGAATCACAATTATTTCAACAGAAACTATTGTTTCAGGCAGACATGATGAAGAAACATCAAACAATATGACTTTTGAATTTTCAATGAAAGCAAAGTATTGAGGATATCTAAAATAGATTTAATAACAAGTAAACTTTTAATCAAAACAAAAAAACATCATAAAACAAAGAAAAAATCATTAATGTTACCTTTCTTTTATTTCCGACAACATTATTTCAACATCATAAAATCTAATTAAATCAATTTGATTGTAATCATCCATTTCACCAGTATTGTATTTAGTGATGTTAAAGAAATTTTATTTATATTTGTAGATCTTGGTTGTGTTCAGGCTGTTTGGTACATCGTTGAAGATGTGCACCCAGGAAAAATTGATGGGGATCACTAAGAACTTAAAAAAAGATATTAATAAAATTATTCATTGTAAAATTTATCAATAAAAACAACTTTAGGAATGCTTACATCAAACTTTGATCGAGGAGACTTGTGCATTTTGCTGCTTGGTAGCAAGTGTTTTTCACACATACCCATATTTGAAAATACTTTTTCAGTTGGAATGGATCACAACCAATATTGTAACTTTTGTGTGTCACTTAGAATTTGGAAACATGAAACTTTTCTTCTGAAGTTGATGTTAAATAATTTGTGGAACAATTGATTATTGAACATTTTTTTGGCATGATTATAACTAATAATAGTAAATGTATAATCAGTAATATGTTTAAGCAGTTGTCTAATTAGCTTAAGAATGCAAATTTTTAAAAGTAGAATGCGTACTAATTTTTCATTGCATTAATGTTGATGCGTTTATACACCGTGTGATTTATTAACTATGAAATAAAGTTTTTCAAGTCAAACCTAATTGGACAACTGTTTTTATTTAACCAATTACTGAAAGAAGGACACCTTACAGTTTTCTCACAAAATTACAAAAAAAAAGCGTTAATTTTTTAGTTTAAGTTGTTAAGATCGTTAGATTTAACAACTTAACGTTGGAGCACCCTAATAAATAAATAAAAACAGCAACAACAGCATGATCATGAGTATGCATTTGATATAAATATGCATAGTCTTTTTGATTTAAACAACTCATTATTTTAGCAGTTTTTATTTTTATTTTTAATACTTTGACAACTACATATTCACTAAAATTATTTTACACAATTATAATTTAAACAAAATATATTTACATTACAAGAAATAACATTAAACAAGATACCGTAACAAAAAAAAAAAAAAAAAAAAAAAATTAAAACTTAAGAGGCATTATTGTAGTATATAATGAAAGACTTGATAAGATTATGTTATTACAGGGAACTTGTACTGTTACGTTATCAAAACTATGCTACCTTGTTGAATGAAGGAAAAGTTTCTTTGTGTTATGATTATTAAATAAAGGAGAAATACATAAACATATCGTTTTTGATATTAAATAAAAGTGGCATTTATATCGGTGAATAAACAGAAAATTTTTTTAGCACTTTCATAAAAAAAAACCCCATCATTTATAGCAGTATAATTTAATCTATGTTTAAACAAAGAATGGCTAAATTTTGCCATTTAAAAAGCTGATTTACAGCAAATATAAATGCAATTAACAAACGGTTTGAAGTATCAACTTTAGATATTATTCTCATTACAGATATAAATTTAAAGTTTTCGCTAATTGCCGTAGATGCTTTAGAATATTCAAAGTTGTTAACCCGACGGGCATTTGTTTTTAAAAGTTACGTTCTAAATGTGTTTTAAATGTCTTTTAAACGTCTTTTAAACATTAATGTTTAAAAGACGTTTAAAAGACATTTAAAATACATTTAGATCGTAACTTTTAAAAAGAAATGCTCGTCGGGAAGTTATTTGTTTTTGGAATATTCAAACATGTTGTGCGAGTCACTCGTCATTTAGAAACAGATTTTATAAACCACAGTGCGGGTCAACCGTCAGGAAAGGTTTTAAAAAAATTGTATTTTGTTTATTTAATAAGAGAAATAAAAATAACATTTTTATATGAAAAACAACTCCTTAAAACAGTTACATTTTTCGGCACTACTCAAGACAACAAAAAGCCTGAGAAAAATCCCACAATGCTGTATAAAAATGACGTAACAATCTCATGTGCGTCTTCTCATTTGCACAACGCTTCGGAGTGTGTTTCTGGGCGTGCTGTTTTTAACTTGTGTTTTATATAGTCAGTCTGATTTTATTCGGTTGAAAAATGCCAAGTATTTCTTCCAAATCTTCTCAATCTAACCCTCAAATTGGTAACATTGCAGAATTTCTCCAAGATCCATTGAAACATGCAGTTTCTGTTATGGAGAAAAAGTTAAGGAACTTGGAGAAACGTAAGGTAAGACGAAATTTCCCACGTGGTTTGGATGTTACCGTTTTACAGCAAATTTTAAGCTTCATAGTAGAATTGCATTGTTGGGATTTCTAATTTTATAAAGATTGATAATATTGAAATAGTAAGCTTTCAACTTCTTTATAAACCTGCTGTAAGTTAATGCCCCTTGTTGCGTTTTCTAATAATGTTAGATTGGTAGTCTTCCAAATTTTAAAACCTTACCTTATGAAGAGAGAGGTTCAAATATGACTATTTAGGTAAAAGAATTCAAATATTTGGAATTTTCATTAAATCTATATAAATCTATCAGTATACATTGAAGTATGATATGTCTAATATTGTCATTTTGAGATTTTCAAGTTTTTTTAGGTATTCTTAAAGTAGTTAATGTGTTTGATTCTGCAATACTATTAAAGTTGTTACACTGATTTTTTAAAACTATTTAGTAATATTTATATAAATGTTCGTATACTAATAGTGGGGTGTCATTCAACTTTCTTTCCCCCCCCCCCTCATTTTTATGAATGATTATGATAGATTACATTATCACTGATTCAGAATCATATCAAAACATTGGTCTGAAAACTTAAGGAAAGGGCTCTAATTTAATGTTACAGTTTTTAAAAATTACTAATATTCTCTTTATTTTTGAAAACATTTTAAGACTGTTTTCATAGAGAAATCAATAATTAAGAAAATTTTTAATTATGTGACCCAGTTTTTTTTTTAAAATATCAATTTATTTTTAATGCGCATTTGTACTCCCATCGACTGACAAATAGGTACTGGTGTACATACATCAACTGACAAATAGGAATTAGTGTAATTAAATGTACACGCATCAACTGACAAATAGGGATTACAATTGAATGTACATGGTTCTGGTTAGGGTTAGGGTCAGAGATCAATTAGGAATTGATGCATTTTGCATTTTCAAACAATTTTGCTATAAGGTGTCAATAGAAACCAGGCCTATTTAAAATTATTTCTGAAAAAGAGTTTAATCATAAACAATTTTAAAAAGGATAGCAAATATTAGTGTTTTTAGTGTAGTTTGTTATATTTTATCAGATTAGAGTAATTTCCTCAAGTTTTCATACCTTTTTTTATGATTCCGAATCAGTATAATGTATTTATCATAATCAATTATAAAAATAGGGTAGGTCAAGAAAGTTAAGTAGTGTCGATAATGGTACTATGTAATCATCTTTTATTATTTACAACTTGGTTTTAAGTTTAATGAATTGAATCATGATTTTTTTCCCCTAATTTTGTGTGATTTTGTTGGCAAATGATAGCTTAGTAAAATTGCTGTTGCAGTTTTTATCATTTTTTTAACAGCTTTCTCTATTTTCACAGTTTTAGGTTTATTACCATAATCCAGTTTTATATAATTCCCTGATCATGTTCGCTTTGATGCTATACAACTCTAAATCACTCTAAAAAAAACACTCTAGTTAATTAGTTATTAAAATGAGTTAGTTCAAACTCATCTCATGTTTTTCTGTGCTTAAAGCTAATACTGCTGTTCTTACTGTTCAATTTTGTTCAAAGTAAAAATAGCTCTTTTAATGTTTTGAAAAAAAAGTAGCTTAAGCTTTTTAAAATTCATTAGTTATTGTTTCTAATTTTGGTATGATGAAATGCCAAATCTCACTCACAAAAAAAAAAGTTTAAATTTGTAAAGAATAATTGAATATATTCGCTAACTTTTTTTATAAGTTTTATAAATTAAAAAAAAAAAAACTATACATCTGCTGGCATACGTAAAATGTACTTGTGTTTTTAATGTAGTTTTTTAAACTTTAGCATCAAATTTTAAAATACTTCCCCAGTTTTCAGACTATATTTTTATATGATTTTGAATCAATATAATGTATTTTATTATAATCAATCATAAAAAGGTTGGGGTAAAGGGGGAGAAGTTAAGTTGCGCCCAAAGTTAGTGAGTTGTACATACAAACTGACAAACTCTAAATTGAGGCATGTTTGTTATAAAAACAACAGTTGTGTAAATTTGAATATAAAACTATGATGGTTACTTCAAGGATTGTTCAAGATGTTCAAGGATTACTAAGATTTAATATATATTTTATACTGCTATACCAACTTGCTAAACCAAATCAGCTTTTAGCTAAAAAAAAATACTATTTAATCAATTGCTTAAAAGCAATGCTCAAATTTAGTTCTAATCTTTAAGCATACTCAACTTTTTTAGTTTTAAATTAAACTACTTAATTATTTCTTATCCTAATTAAATTGATTTCATTTATATAAATTTTGTATTTTTGTACACTTGCAAAATATTGAATTATTGTTGTGAACTTTTAATCTTGTGTTTTAGATTAAACTGCTCGAAACAAAGAAAAAAGCTGAAGGAGGAAATGAATTAAATGATGATCAAAAGGTACTTTTTTCTTTAACCCAACCCTTCAGAATTTTTGAATGCAAAAAAAAGAAAAGAAGGTGGTTATAATATACATGTTGTTTTAAATTACCCAGTGTTCAAGTTATTTTACTAAGTTTCTAAGCATTTCCCAGAGATTTTCTTGTTAAAAACTTTTATACTAAAAATCTTCATGTTTATTCATGTATGCAACTTTACATTAACTTCATTAACTCTTTTTTTTTTTTTTTTTGACTTATGCCATGCTGGTTCTTACTTATAAGCTATATAATGATTGCTCAATTAAAACTTTTATAGTTAAAACTAATTTTTACTTTTTCTAATAATAATTTAAAAACTGAAAGATATTTATATTAAAAGAAATCATATATTTGTTAAAACTAGCTGTATGGGAGAGTGGGAAGAAGTACATTAAAACTATTCTAAAAAAATAAAACTATTAAAGGGATCCCAAACTCCCGACACATGTTGTGTTCATATTAAAGATAATGTTAAAAAAAAGGTTTGAACCAAGTTTTTTTGATTAAAAATAAATAATGAATGCTTACCGTGAAAAACAAATGTTGTTTTTGCCGAAGCTCGCCTTCTCCATTTTTTCCAATAAATCAGAGTCTTCAAATTATGCGTCGCAATCTACAGACTTTGGCAATTCCTTTGAAGCACGTTTAATTCATAAAAGTTTTAGTATTTGACGTCACGGTAGACTTTTAACAAAAGAAACTCTGGAAATATTTTTATTTATTATTAGACAAAGTTTTTTTGGTTATTTGTTTAGTTTTTTTTTCTACTTTTAATATTTAAAAAGATATTAAAAACCTTAAATATTTTATGCTGGTTCGTTGCTATAAATTTTATTGCGCTATATATTTAATGTTTATAAATTATGAATATCTATTATCTCAATCAAGACTGATAAAAAAATGTTTTACATTAATTACCCGTATAAAATTAGTAAAAGCATTTTTATTTGGTTAGATAATATTTCGTCTCAATTTGCTTTGCATGAAGTTCGGGAAGTCAAGCGAAAAAAATTAGTTTGAATAATCACTTTGAAATATATTCAAAACAAATTATTTTAATGACGAGGGTTCAAAAGTTTTTTATAACAATTGTAGGTAAAAAATAAATAATTAAAAAGTTCAACATAAAACATCATTTCTTTATTATATTGCAACTGTAAATATTGAAATATTAACTTGAACTTAATTTACTTTTATTACTTAAATTACTATTTAGAATGACTAAGCAATAAAAATAAAAAGCCCCTAAAATTATGCAATATTGTATTGTTTATTTGATAACTTAAAAAATTAAATTAAAAAACTGCTGTTGGTAATGTTGTTTATGTAGATTATTTTCATTAATATCAAAATAGTCCCAGATTAATCTGTTAGTTGCTTTGTTCATTGTTGCTTTATTTCTAATTTTATTTTATCTCTAAGAATAAATTTATGTTAAGAAAGAAAAGTTTTTATTTCATCGCTTGCCCTATTTATAAAAGTAGAACAAAAGAGAAGGAAAAGTTTCACGTTAAACTTCGAATGAATAAAAGAGTTGTATAGAATTTTTTTTTTTTTTTGCGTCACTCGTTTTTTTTTTAGATGAGAGAAATAAAAGTTTAATAGTAACTTTTCTTTGAATAAATGAAAATTGGAAGAGAAAATTGCTTGAAAATTTGTATTTGTTGTGTTTTAAAATTTTTCATGTTAAGAGACAAATGCCAAATACAATACAAATTGGGAAATACCTAATATAATATGTTTTTTAACACGCATTATGACATTTTGACAATTTAAATAACCATTTATCTTGAATTATTGCCATTAAATAATGTGTTAATTATTGCGTTATATGAAAATAATTTGTCCGTATTTTTGTTAAATATTAGTTGTATAAAACGGGCGAAAATATACAAACTTCATGTTTTTATTTGATGGTTATAAAATATTGAACAGTAAACTAATACTCAAAATTTATAATGCCGACTTGTGTTGTTATTATTTTGTACTTTTAATGCAAAACCAAGATCTCATAAATCCTTTCAAGAATTTGCATATCTTATACTTCTGTCAACTGTATTGTTTAGTGTATTCTTGAATTTTTTTCATAACCTTAACAGGTTCTAATTGGTATGGAGTTACCAACATTTTAAAAGTTTCATTATCAAAAATCAAACGTAAAATAAAATGGTATTTCCTTTTTATCCGTATCCAATTTAGCAAATTTAGCAATTTAAAATAAATCAGCGTAATCAAAAAATTTTTATAATAAAAAAAGTTAACAATTCGTCATATATCTCTAATTAATACTGTCAGTTTATGAAATTAATTGTTAATACTTTTTTTTGACGGGAAAAGAAAAAATATCATAGCGTAAAAATAACCAGAGAAGTTAGAAAAAAGTCCGATTGTTTAAATAAAAATAAGTAAGATTCAGAATATATAATACTGCACTCTTTTGCACAAAAACAGGAGACCGTATACATAATGTTCTATATGTAATGTAAAACACTCTTATGAAAATCATAAGATTCGTAAGTAAAGCTTTAATATTTGTTTTAATTTAAAAACAAAAGAAATATAAGTAAGATATATAAATTGAAAAATTATTAAGATATCTGTAAAAAACAAGTTGCTCCTATAAAATAAAAATAATTTATAATTTTTTCTTTTTACAAATTTTTTTTTGCGACATTTAGAAAATTAATACAAATAAACTTGTTTTGCTGTATATTAAAAAAATACTACAGTAGAAAAACGCAGTTTAGTTTAATTACACTTTTCTTTTGTTAAAATCTACCGTGACGTCAAATACTAAAACTTTTATAAATTAAACGCGCTTCGAAGGAATTGCCAAAGTCTGAATATTGCGGCGCATAATTTAAAGACTCCGATTTATTGAAAAAAATGGAGAAGGCGAGCTTCCGCAAAAGCAACAACATTTGTTTTTCACGGTATGCATTCGTTATTTATTTTTAATCAAAAAAACTTGGTTCACACCTTTTTTTTTAATATGATCTTTAATATGAACACAACATGTGTCAGAAGTTTGGGATCCCTTTAAAGACAAAAAATGTTTTTAGAATAATTTTAATACCTCCTTTATATAATGTATAAACTGAGCCAACCAAGTTTTAACAATTAAAGCATCATTTCAGGCACTGATTCCATCCCCTAAGATTGACAACAGGTTTTAATAAAATATATATTCGATTTTAAAGAAACTGTGCCATTGGGATAAAGTGGACAGCATGGCTTGATTTAACACAAAAAATTTAATTGCAAGAAGTTTCCTTTTTAAATCGCTCTCCCTAAAAAACATTAGATACCCCTTTTTTTTTAATTTATTACTTCTTTCTATTGATCTAGCCTATTATTAAAAATTTAAGTATAATTAAGTTTTTCATTATAAGGGTTTTTAAGATTAGTGTTTGTTTTTTACCACGTTTTTATTAGCTCGATTTCTTGTTTGTTTGTTTGTTTGTCCGGGTGGAATTTTGCTACTCAATTTTAACCCACTTTTCAATTAGCTAGAGCTCTGAAACTTTAACTATAGCTCAGAACCTGATGACAATGCAATATTATACTACTTTTACCATAATTTGCCGAGTTTCTTGAACAATTTCAGCAAAATAAAATTTATTATGGCAAAACTTTTGGAGGCGTCGCCGCAATTTGATGTGCCACTTTAAATAAAAAAATTTTGAACAAAAAAACCAAATTTAACTGTCGCTGTGATTTTAAATGGACCGCAGCATAAAAACAAAATCAGTTGTTTACAAAATATAAAATTCCACCCATCAAAAACTAAAAAGAAGAAAATCATATAACAAATTAAAAAACTTTTTATAAAACCACGTTTTTGTAATGAACTAAAAAGTAGAAAATAATTTTCTCTTGTGGCTATAGAAATTTTTGAAAATTAATTGAGTCAATAGTAAGTGACATGAAAAATTTTGATTATGAACTCTTAATAATTACGATAACATTTGTAAAATTTTAAACGAAAAATGTGGTGCGCATTTAACAAAAAAAAAAACACAGAAGAAGGAAGCAATAGTTAAAGTAATTAAGGACGATGATGATCATTTAAAGTGACAAGATGCGCACCACGTTTTCCGTTTAAAAATTTACAAATATTATCGTAATTATTAAGAGTTCATAATCAAAAGTTTTCATGTCACTTGCTATCGACTCAATTAATTTTCAAAAATTTCTATAGCCACAAGAGAAAATTATTTTCTACTTTTTAGTTCATTACAAAAACATGGTTTTATAAAAAGTTTTTTTATTTGTTATATTATTCCTTATTCTAATTGTTTTGCAATAAATAGTAAGAAAAAATTTTGGTTTAATAGTCAATATATATTTCCATAAGTTTAAATAAATGCTTAATTTTTGTTTTGCGTAAAAAAAAGTTTGGAACAGAAGTAAAAAAATTTATTTTATTTTTAATTTTTGATTACTGGTTTAACCCTGAAAGGGTTAAACAAGTAATTAAAAACTGCATTTTAAAAATCTTCTTAAGATTTTGTATACTCTAGGCACTTTAAGCATAAAATCATAATTTTTTCCTTGGCTCTAGTTCTAGTTGCCACGAAAACTATAACGGGAAAGGTATGTCCCGACAGGCTAAATGGAAATAATATATGTATGGGTGTGTTCGTGTATGTGTGTGTGTGTATGTATCTATATTTATATATATATATATACACACACACACAAACATACCAGGTTTGGTTGGGCAGCGGGAGCGATCGCTCTCAATTGCTGACCACGTAAATAATATTTAGTTGCGAAAAGATGGCCAGATTTTTTAGTCGTTTTGAGAACATTTTTTAAAGCTAAAAAAAAAAAAAGCGATTAAGATTAATTGGACCGATGAATGACAATCACAAAAAAAAAAAAAAATTAAAGCTAAATAAATTACGTTTGAAACAAATATATTTTCCAAAAATCGCTCTTTTATAATTTTTTTTATAAAATTAAGCGTTGTTTTAT